GGCAGCCCTTTGGCCACGGGACCCCACTCCAGCGGGAGAGGCGCTGCTGGGCGCCTGGGAGTGGCATCCATTCTGCGAGGCCGCTGTTGCCATGAGTAATAAGTGTCACGGGGGGGGCAGGGAAAAGAGGTGCTTAATATAGCCCGTTACTGGGCCCCCGCCGGCCTTTTCCTCTGATTTCCTTCCTGGAGCCGTGAGCTTTTGAAAGGAAGCAAAGGCCTTTCACAGCAGATTCCACGAGTTTTTCTCATCAGGGCTTGCTGGGCTTGCCGCTGGGGGCTTGGGGTGTCCGAGACATGAAGCCCCCGTCGGCCAGTGGCTCTGTCCTGGGTCGAGGTTCGGCAGAGACCGCGGGGCTCAGAGGGGCCCTGTGACCCTCTGGCTCTAGGATGGGCAATGCCGTGGAGAGACAGAAGCCCCTGAAGCGAGGCCCTCTGCACCCCTGGAAACAAGGTAAAAGGGGCCGGGCTCCCTCCGCGGGGGCCTGCCCAGCCCTGGCACCGCGGGACACCGTCCAGGCCGGGCAGCCCGGGGTGCTGCCTGCGTGTGCTGTGGAAGGCTGTAGCTCTGGGGAGCACCCCGACAGCAGCGGGCGCCCCCGGCGTCGGACCCTCCAGCGGCGGCGTGGCCCGGAGCCTGCTGTCACAGCCCTGGCACCCCGCGCCTCCCCAGATGCTCGCGGGGCGGGCTCCGTGCCCGCGCCTGCCAGAGCGGCCAGCAGCCAGGTGCGGCCAGCCCTGGGCTTCGAGCGGGGGCTGCCCCTGGACGCAGGCGGCCCCCTGGGCGGGCAGCCGCGCCGCCACGTCACCCTGCCCCTGGGCTGCCTTTGCCCCTTAGCCCGGCCGGCTGCCCGGACCCCAGCAGCGGTGCCACCCCGCAGCCCCACCCCCCAGAAACGGAGGCAGCGCCGAGCGCACCAGCCCCGGGCCGTCTGGGCTCTGAGTGTGTTTGTGAGCAGGAAAACAGAAACAGCAAGGGCAGAGAGGGAGCTAGGTGCGTGCCGCTGGTTTGTTTTCCGCTCAGAAGGGCACAGTGGGGCGTCGTGGCGACCCCGGCCCCCCTCCAGCCCGCGGAGGTGGGGCTGTGGGAGGCGGCTGCAGGCGGGGGTTGCGCCCGACTGAGCAGAACAGCCTCAGGTGGCGGCCGGTTCGGGATGGGCGCGGCGCTCTCGGGGGACTTCTGTTTGTTCTGCTCGTGACACGGTGAGTCACGCAGGAGAGCGTCCTTTTTCGGGTTCTCAGGCCTGACGCGTTTCGGGGTGGCGGGTTACGCTGTCTGCTGTCTTACCCTGACAGGGCTGCCGGGGGGCCCGCATGACCACATCGTGCATCCGAGCGTCCAGGTCAGTGCGACGGTGCCCGCCAGGCCCGGGTGATGCAGAGGTGAGGGAGCTCGCCCTCTTGCTGTACTTTCTTTTTTTTTTAAGAACTTCCGAGGTCGCTGATTATGGCACCTCAGGGCATGTCCTTCAGAGACGGCCGCAGCCAGGCCGGCCGGGGTGCGGGCCGCCAGCGGGCACCTCCAGCCACTGCCGAGAGGCTGGCTTCGGTCCAGCAACTCACAGCGCCACTTTAATTACAGCAGTTTCCTTACTTTGGATTATCTCTGGTGCTCAGAAACTGCCTGGGAGTTAAAACGGCTTAAAGCTTATTGGAAGCAGCTGAGTTTACAGGAGACTCGAAGGCCGCGTTCGAGCTTCGCCTGTTGAGCTGAGTGCGGGGATCGCAGCCGGAGAAGCTGTAGGCGCCCTGACCGGGAGCAGCGAGGGCGGGCGGGGAGCGAGCGCCCCGTCTCTGGCCCCTGGTCGCCCATGGCCCTGCCCCCGAAGTCCACCCAGACCGGAGGGGGTCGCGGGGTGCGGCCCAGCCTCGTGTCTGTCCGCCTCGTCTCTGGCCTCTGGGTAGTGTGCGTTTTGGAAGGCGACTCCGGAGAGTGAGCCGCAGCTGGCCGCGCCCACGCCACGGGCAGCGGGCCCTGGCGTCTGCTGGCCTGTGCACCCCGGCGTGGCTAGCGCTCCAGGGAACCGCCTCGAGCCAGGTGGAGGACAGTCTCTGGCCGCCCGTGCGGTCAGCACATCGGGTTGCTGAAACACCTGCGCGCCGTGGCCCTCGCCACCGCCAGGTCCCGGGCCTGCCGTGCGGCTGGGAAGTGCCCCCGGCTGGGCTCGTGGGTGGCCCTCCTCCCTGACCTCCTGGCTCCCAGGACCCAAGTGGGAGGAGCAAGCCGGAGCCCTTTGGCTTCCACGGGGCTGGCGGTTCCACTGCTTGAGGCCCAGCAGCGTCTGGAGTTAGCCCTTTGGGGACTGCTGCGGTCCGGCCAGCCGCGAGCCACCTGCTGCCCCTTTCCTGGCCTCCACCTGAGCTCCAGAGGCTGCGGGAGTTGGGATGAGTGCTGCCGGGTGGGCCCGCAGCCCACAGCCCCTTGAATGACCGTGATTCTTGTCCCGCGCGTGTCACGGGACCCCGGGGTGCAGGCCCACGGGTGCCCGGATGCCTGGTCTCCCCCGCCCCAGCCAGCCGGAGTCCGGCCTCCCCTTCCCTGCGTCCCTCTCCCTGTGGAAAGGACCACAGGCCGGTGAGCGCAGAAGCGCCGTGGCACCTGTGAATCGCGGCCTCCGGCGGGGCCAGGGCGGTGTTGAACTTTTTGGAAAGTCGTCACTGTGCAGCGGCTATTCAGGATATTCAGTTACCAGGCAGGGTAGCTCTGGAGTGTTGCTCATAATCGCCGCGTGGCCTTCTTCGGCTGGGAGCCCGGCTCGAGCCTGGGCAGCCCGCCCGGGAGCCGTGCGTGGCCCGCCAGCCTGCCGCCGCCTCTGGGCCCTCGCACCCACTCGCAGGCTGGCCGGGCGCCTGCGGCCTCCGTGTCCTCACCTGTGGCTGGTGCTCTCCTACGGGGCGTGGAGGAGTCAGGGCTCCAGCGCGCCAGGCGCGGAGGCCAGTGCCCAGCACGGTCGGAGGAAGTTCAGGGTCCTCACTGCGCTTCCTGGAGGCTAAATTCAGAGGCTTACATTTTAAGCTGAAAAAGGTTACGCAGTTAAAGGAAAAAATGGACAAAATGCAAATAAGAAAAGCGCTTGAGTGTCCCAAGGGGCCGCGAGCGCGTGAGCAGGGCCTGACCGCGCCGCCCCCCGCGGGGCCCACGCCGGCCTCTGCGAGGTCTGTGGCCTTCGGTGACGCTGTGGCCGTCCCCGAGGCCCGAGCGCGGAATATCGCTCCCGCCGCGGGTGCGACGAGCCGGCTGCCGGCGTGCGTGGCCACCCGTGCGGGCTGACTCGGCGGCGCAGCTGCCAGCGTGGCGGGCAGAGGCCCTCGGCCGTCGCGGGCTTCCCTCAACTTCCCTCAGCGGAGGAGCAGACGCAGGGGTGGAAGGGCCGTGAGGGAATTTTTCTCACGAGAAGAGAGGGCGTCGTTGCGGGCGTGGGCACAAAAAGGGAAGGAAGCCTGGCTGTGTCATCGTTACTTCCAGATCCAGAACAATGTCCAGCCGCTGCCACGTGGAGCCCGTGGCCTGGGAACCTGCGTCAGGCGTGGCCCGCGGCTGCGCCCACGCGGGCGGCCCACGGCTTGAGGCCACGCCGGGCCGAGGCCGGCCCCACTCCGCGACTGCTTTCTGGGGCGCTCACATGGGGGTCGCTACATGCTGAAACACCCCATCACTGTTTCTGGGGGCCTTGTGGGGCTCCTGCTGAGGCATTTTGTCTTGGGGGGGTCTTTTTAAAGGGCCTGGGAGCGACGGTCACAGGCTGGGGGCGCCGAGGCTGCTGTGTAACGCTCACGCCCAGCCCGGAGGGAGCAGCCCCCCTCGGAACCCACCCCCAGCTTGCGGCCCGAGCCCACGCGGCGTGGACGGGAGGCCGGCAGGTGTCGTGGGGGCCTTTGCTTCCCCCCTAGTGCTCGGGGCCGCTGGAACTCAGAGTGGCCTCTCCTGACAGGCCGGGGCGTCTCCAGGCCAGGGGCCGCCGGGCGCCGCCCTCCAGCCCCTGTGTCCTGTCTGCCCCGCACTCTGCCGTTTATCCGGGGAAAGGCTGGAAGGCCCCGGGCGCCTGACCGGACACGCAGAGGCAGCTTCCCCTGGCCCAGTGGGCGCTGTGCTCTGAGCCCCGCCTCTGCGGCCGTCTCCCCGCCTGCCCGCTCGGGCGCAGAGGGCTCAGGGGCCTGGTCTGGTGACCGCCGTGGGGAAGGCCAGTGCTGGAGAGGACCCCGGCCTGGGAGCGGGCCGCGGGGGAGGGCGGTGGGAGCCGGCTGGTCTGGGAAGCCCAGGAGGCGGCGTGCGGAGCGGCGTGGCCGGGGCTGGCGCGGCTGGGGAGGGGCCGAACAGGGCTGGCGGCCGCCTGGGCTCTGGGCGGCCTGGGGACTTTGAAGGCAGAGCCCGGAGTCGCACAGCCTGAGCGGTGGAGGTGACTGGCGCTTCAGGCCGAGCTCCCGCCCGCGTGTGGCCGTCCAGGGTGGCCGGCTGGCGGGAAGCCAGGCAGCGCGGGCGCCGGAGCCGTGGTCCCAAAAGAGACGCCGCTGCCCTGCTGAGCCTGCGCGTGGGGCGTGGCAGCGCATCCCGAGAGCTCGGGGAGGCGGCGTTCAACGCTGGAGGGACAGGAGACGGCCGTTGGAGGGGCGAGGCGAGGGCTGAGCCCCGGAGCCCCAGCCCCAGCTTGGGAAGGGCACCGCCGTCAGCCGGAGCGGGCCTGGGGCGTCCTCGGCCCCCTCGGCCCTGAGCTGGGGGCTGCCCTGCTGGCCGTGTGCACGTGCGCGTGGCTGAGGTGAGGAGAGGTTCTGTCTCAGGCCAGGGAGGAGTGGGGGCCCCCCCCAGCCCGGCACCCTCGGCGCCTGGAGCTTGGGCTCTGGGGTCTCCGAGCAGTAAGAGGGTGGAGCCCATGGGCGGGAGTCCCTTGATTGATGTCCTGTTTCATCTTCATTTAGCAGGTGATGGAGCACCTGTTCCCCATCAGACACTGTCAGCCTCAGGTGTTTCCAAACTGAGCTCCTCACCTGAACCACAAAGCTCCCCCCCAGCTGCAGGGTCCCCATGCTAGACCCGGGAGAGGTTAGTTGGTCACAGCCAGGGGTGCCTTGGCACCTGGAGCGCCTTCTCTGAAGAAAGGCACAACCCAAAATAGCTCCAGGTAGACACGTAATTACAGAAGGGTAAGCACCAGGAAAGATCAGAGCCCAGATGTGAGGGGTGAGTCAGATTAACTGGGGGAGGAGGGGGGAGCGGAGGCCATCGGGGCGGAGGTGATGCAGCAGAGGCTGGAGGCAGGGAGCTGGCGCTTTGGAAGACTGCCTGGCCGGGAGACTGCCGGAGTCCAGCAGAGGCTGGCAGCTGGGTGAGGCGTGGCAGGCTGAGAATGGCAACCAGGTGTCTGGCTCGTGTGGACAGGTGTTCACGCCGAGATAAGCGATAGGGGAGGAGATCCTCGCTCTGTTTGGCATATTTCCTTCAGGGCTTTTCAGCTTTTA